ATAATAATAATAATAAATCTTAATATAAACGAGTAAAAACAAAAAAAAAATAATATAAAAAAATAAATAAATTAGACACCCGTACCAACGAAGATTTTCGACAACAAAGCAACAACACTCCCATCTGACCCCGAAATAGTTTGCTCAGCATGGATGCCAACCAACTTCAGAAACTCTTGAACAACATTACCCAGTTATTCTAACGAGCTATGACTGACATCATCAATGGCAGTAGGAATGATGTAGCAGAGGTGAAACCGGGACGTTTATTGGGAGTCTTGCATGCCGCAAATGAAACTCAAAACAGAATCCTAGAGGTGAGGAATGATCGTCAAGGCAAGACCCGGGAGAACGACATAGCTACGAAACCAATCAAGGAGGAACCAAAATGTATTTGTGCGGAGATTTGAACAGCTAGCGATGAAGACGCCAGAGTGCCAAGTGCGAGGGAGCAAGTGGAAGCACCTGAAGGCAACGAGAGGGATGCCAAGATTGTGGAAGCTGGGAGCGAATCGAGAGGTGATGGAAAGTCGGTGACCCCGGATCAAAGGGTGGTGTGTCGCAAAAAGAAGAAAACAGAAGACGATAGCCCTGCGGAGACAAAGGAAAAAGTAAAGTTTGACCCTTGGGATGATAAGGACAAAATAATGATGGTGCCGGTCGGTGCCATCACGACCGAGAAATGCGAAGAACCTGGTAGGAAGGAATCTGACCCATGCAAAGCAAAATCGGGTTGTCGCAATGATGATATTATACTTGCTGAGCGAGAAACCCACGAGATTGAATCAGATCATTTTAGCAGCCGTGATAGCCCCACTGATGGTGCCGAAAACGATAATGACCGTGATGGAAGACATATCACGGAAATCGCCACGGACTATTGTGATCAAGGAGGAGGAGACGACACCGCCGAACAAGTGAAGCCAATAAACCCCGAACCTGACTCCAGGAGAACTTCATCAGCACACCAAGAAATAGGAGTGCTACGGAATGGGCGAATCTGGAAATGGTGGCAAAGGAAGGGAGACGATGAAATCACCATGATGTACCTGATTAAGAGCACGCCCATGAATACATGAATAAATGCGCCTGTGGCGAAACAATGGAGCTGTACCACTATGTTACACCGTAAAGCTGTTGGACGAAGAAAAAGGTTGACAGAACACATAGTGATACACCAACGGAGGTTAAATTCCGGAGGACATAAGTAATGCAACACTTACTGCCTCAAGCCGAGTGAATCCTATAGATGGAAGTTCCACCCAGAATATTTTGAAGAAAGGCACAGGATCATGATGACAGCGCGTAGAAGAAAGAAAGTCACTAAAAATGAACCTGATCTTAGGAACACCCAACCTGCGATAAAGGAAAGATGTGTGAGTTCTCATCACAAGTGATGGTTATGTGGGACAATAGATTATTAAAGATCACTAATATCATTGGTTCATGAGATTACAAATCCATTATAGTGAAATTTTTATTATATGCTCAATAACATAATTTAGTCTGTAACCGTTATAAAGAATTATCATATAAAAATTCATAATAGTGAGGGAAAACAAATAATTAAATTTTTGTTCCAGTAAAACACTCCATTATATTGAAAAATCTGGTTAAACGAGGTCCGTTATAACGAGAGTGCACTGTATATCTATGATAATATGTCATAGGACACGTAACTCGTTGATTACCACAGGTTAATGTGTCATTATTTTTTTTAAATATTTCAAAATATATTTATTTGAGATAATCTGTAATCTGGTTAATATAATATATTTATTAAATCTTATTGAATTGTTACAAATATGGGAAGTAAATATATTGTATAAATCTTAATTCAACTTATTAATAGTGTAAGGTTTCTAGATATAATTTATAAAGGTGATATATTATTCATCTATTAAAGAAAATTAAGATTTTAATCTTTCAATATATGCATATTATTTTTACAATTATATGCTATAAGTTTGTATATATATAATAATAAGTCAAATTAAATTAAAAATTATTATATATTCTTTTTTTTTTCTGTAAATAAATATTATTTCTTTATTTGATTTGTATATAACAAGGTAAACATCATGAAAGAAATAATATTTCTCACATGTTTTATGTAATAAGTTAAATACAAGTTTGTTTATACATACTATAAATAACTAATATAGGAAAAAAAGTTTAAATAATATTAAAATACTAAATATAGTCTAAATAGTAATTATGTCTATTTTTTTAGAAAAAAAGTTTAAAACATATAAAATAATTGAAAAGAAAATAATAAAACCAACTAAAACCAAAACAATATCAAATAAATTATAAAATATATAAATAAAAAATCAAATATTTTTTAAGAAAACTTCTGAACAGATTTTTTTTTTTTTTGGGGGGGTTATCCCAGTAGGTAAACATCATTTCTTTATTTGATATTGTATATTACAAGGTATACA